TGTTGTTTTGCTTTTGTTCCATATTCTTAGGTTAGATTCTTTCTTTCAGCATTCATAGAATATTAACTTAAAGAATAGAAGTAAATAAAATTCACGTACATGAAAATGTCAACTTCCATTACGCTTTCTTGTTCGCTGCGTCTGTCTTTTTGATACAAGCTTAATGCCGTCGTGTTAAATTCAATGACATTTATTTAACAGAACTACTAGGGTCAAAACCCAAATCCTTTCTTGGTTTCCAATCATGACAGAATAATAAATTTTACAGTCTAAGAAGCGGTTGTCCATAGTAACACAAAGAAAGCTTCAAAATGTGCCTTGATACTAAGCTTATATAGAAATACGGTTTATTATCATATGACTCATACGGCCCCGCGCGCAATTTACTTGGAAAACCAAAAGAAAAAAGATCCCGTATGAGGGCCGTGTGCCACGAAGTGATAGGACCGGAAAAACGCGTAACGGCCCCACTAGAAATACGTACGGCCCTAAAAGGAAAGCGTACGGCAAAATCGATGCGAGATAATGGCAAAAACACTTTATTTTTTTGCTGTAAAGTTTTGTTTCCTTTAAAATGAGTAATGAACGTGAGCATTTCTGAAAAATTCTGAGAGCAAATTTTACTATCCAGTCAAACTGTCCGGCATGCAGAACTACTTCAGTCGCCAACACACTCGGAAAGCACAGAACGAAAGTCAACACTCCTCACAAGTGAAGAAGTTCACAACTTTCTCAGAAGTCAACAACAAGCAAACAGGTTGTCAAGAAAACAACTTTTCCGGATGAACTGTCCGATAATTAACCTTTCGAATAAGCAAACAGACTCTTGAGGCGAAACTTCTTTCAGTGGAAAGCATGGGTCAAAAGCAAGAAAACAACGTGAGGAAAACAAAATACGACATAAGTTTAATGTTTTCTTCAGTTTTCTTCGAGTTTCCAGAGTTTCTYGGAGAAGTTGGTTGAACCAGAGAAATCACAAACATACCTTGTGTACAGTAGGATAAATTGCTCTGCAGTTTCTACATCACTGATGTTTGAAGAGACAAAACTGAGTACGAACACAAGTTTAGAGTTCGTTACCGTACAGTTCATCCAGATAATAAAACTCGCTTGAATTTCCACTACACAGCAAGGCCAGCAAAGGCAGCAAACCCAGGCACTGTTTGCAGGAGCCAACATCGGTCTCATTAATATTCAGTTGCTGGTTCTCCCTTGTTCAAGAGAATCCAAGAGGTAGACAAATAGCTTGAAGCGACGCCGACATTTTATTGAGTCGTCAAATGAAGCTTGAAGATTTGTGAACATTTGCAGCGAGGTGTGAAGCGAACGTTTGTCACTCGCTAAGTTTTTGATGGTTTTCACATATTTTTGACAGCTTTATGTCAACTTTCTGTTGTCATTTTAAACAGGTTAGCCAATCCCGTTTGCATGAGTCGTAATTGTGGACTCACATCTAGAAACAAAAATGAGAAAACGAGTCGTGTTTTTCGATGAATGGTGAGTTTCTTGTTCCCCGTGAAGAAATAAATGACAAGTTTTTATTATAGAATCCTTTTTGTATCTCCGCGCGCGGCCTTTTGATATTATGTAATCGCGTCTCATTTATTTTCAAACAGAATTTTCAAAATTTTCAGCACTAAAGGCTGGTTTTCACTAACGACGGAGTCGTAGTCGCAGTCGTAATCAGAAGCGTAAAGCGATACGATCTAGTGAAAATCAAACCGACGGAGTCGGAAGAACACCCCAGTCCGCTTATGAATCCGTCACTTACGATCTAGTGAAAACTAGATTGCCGAAGTCGGAAGCAAAACCGGAAGAATAAACCAATCACAGTGCTCGATTCCGGGCCTTGTGATTGGTTGGTTCTTCCGCTTCTACTTCCGACTCCGATAATCTGTTTTCACTAAATCATAAGCGACGGAGTCGTAAACGGAATCGGAAGAAATGGAAACGTTCTAATTCTTCCGACTCCGATTCCGTCGAGCTCATGACTCCCGCTTACGACTCCGATTTTTGATTTTCACTAGGTCGTAAGCACTCTTCCGTCTCCGACTACGACTCCAACTCCGACTCCGTCGCTAGTGAAAACCAGCGTTAAGTGGTCATATGGCAAAATGCTTATTAACTGAGTAAGGTCGGGCCGGACGGAAAATAGTTGGCTCTCGGTCAGGACGTCCTGACCGAGAGCCAAATATTTTTCCGTCAGGCCCGACCTTACTCAGTCAATAAGTACACATTTTTTTTTTAACTCAGTTCGCGAAAGGGTGGCATTCAACAATTTCTGCAATCTGATTGGTTCCGGAAGCGGGCGGAATTGTCGTGTTGACCTGTTTTTGTGAACGAAAGTACTATCGGTAATCGTCAATCTTAACTTTTTACACTTTCCTTATCGATTAATCAACGCAAATCTACCTCTGTTCACTTTTAAATACGCTGTAAACTGAGGCTGCATGTCTCCGTCAACTTATTAGCTGGAGTATGGCCGCCATGTTGCTCGACGTCATCGTTGTCATGTGAACAGGCCCAAGAGCAATACCGCTTGCCATTGTTACCATAAGAAATGCAATTCACGGGTATCTTTGAGAATGGGGCTCCACTTGGCGGTCTTTCGGGCCGCCGGAGCTCCGCTGATATACTAAAAGCACGTACAGTATAAA